ATGGGAGAATCCTGTAGTAACCAAACTATTCAGGGCCCCACCGAGGGGGAATGATTACAAGCAGCACTGGGGAAATTTGTGTAAGTACAGCGATTTATTCCAATATCAATATCCAGGTGGTGGTAGTATAGTTTTGAAAAATATTACCATTGGGGAAAGCTGGACTAAGTGGAAAAAGACTTTTATATTGTGATACTATATGAAAGTACAATCATTCTAATAAAAATTCCAATTAAATTTAAAATTAAGAAATATTTTATTCTCAAATGACCTCTTTACTTTTTCATTAAGCAAATAGAATTACAATAATACTAAATCAAATTCTGGGAGTCATCTGACACTCATCCCTTATGTTGGTAATTCACGTTTGCTAAACATTTCAAAATTAACAAAATATTTTAATAATTTATCTATTATGTGAGAAGCAGAGACATACAGAGCTTCCATCTACTGATTCTCTAAAATGACTACAAGGTCCAGAGCTAGCCCAGGCCAAATCTGGGAGCCAGGAGCTAAATCCAGATTTCCTACATGGGTGGGGAAGGGATCCAATGATTTGAGCAATCACCTGCTGCTTCCAGGGTGTGTATTAGAAGAAAGCTAGAATCAGAAGCATAGGCAGGACTCAAAGTAAGGCATTTAGATACGGAATGCAGGCATCTTAATGCTATTAGGCCAAGAGCATATTCCTGAACATGTTTTTTCTATTTTTATGCTCATTAAGTTGTTGTATGAATCTGCATGCAGTATCACAAAATATCAAACATTGTGAATGAAAGAGCAGACAAAAAAAATTCTCCAGACTGGGATGTCCTGGGCCCATTGGAAGCATCATTTCCATGGCTGTAGTACATGTTCTGGACTCCCAAGCTTCATGGAGCCCCACTTTCACAGCTCTGCAGAGCAATCCAGCCTCTGGGTTTCTGAGGAGAGGCCGTCTGGCCCATTGGAACTGAGGCAGGAGGCTTCATGGCTTCTCAATCACTGCGGAGGGTAATGTCCCCCTCTTTTGGAAGAATATCACAAATGTATTTACTGTTCTGTGCAAGCCTCAAAGTATAATCTTCCATCTCCACCCTGTTTGGTTCAAAGTATAGCGTTTCTGCCACCATAATCTTGAAATTCCTTATCGAATAATTAGCTCTACTCTTAGTAGTGTCTTCAGAACATACAATGTCATTTCTGCAATATGAATTAGTCTCAACATTTCCCCACCCTTTAAGTTCTGGTGCCTTTTGCTAAATACCAATTCCTTCCTTTCATCTCTCTCCCAACACCTTTACTATAAGGAGTCAGTAAGAACCACCTTTTTAACACTTAGAAAATTCCTCAAACTTAAATAAAATCTTATAAAGAAAAAACCATCAAATAGTTCATTCCAAAGTTCATGAGTTCTATCCTCCGCAAAACATTAGAATACAATCAGCCGACTTGTGTGTAACTTTAAAGATCTCCTTCCTACAGTTTCTAATAATATTCTTCCTTTCCAAATTTACAATATGTAAGTGAAAACTCTTCCAGCCTCTATTCACTGTCAAGTTGTCAAACTGCTTCTGCATTTTATTATCTGCATTTCATTTGTTTATACCACATGGCTGCCTCAGCAATGTGCCTATCCTCTTTCATCACTGTCTAATGGAGTGTCCATTCTGTCACATGTCCACTGGAAACTTCTGTCATTCAGTCCCCTGGAAGTGTGAGAGGGAGGGAGAAAGAGAGGGGGAGGAAGGGAGGAAGAGAGGGAGGGAGGAAGGGATAAGGAGGGATAAGGAGAGAGGGAGAGAAACAAGGAGAAAGAGAGAGGGAGAGACCTATCTGCTTGTTCACTCCCCAGATGACCATGAAGAGTCAAAGCACTTCATCTGGGTCACCCACATGGGTGCAGGGGGCCCAGTGACTTGGGTCATCTTCTACTGCTTTTCACATGCCATTAACAGGGAGTGGATCAGAAGTGGAGCAGCCAGGACATGAACTGGTTCCCATATGGGATGGCAGCATCTTTACCCACTACACCACAACACTGGTCCTGATCTCAGTCATTTTCTAAGTGTTCTCTTAGAACTCTATCCCCTAACAAAACCACAACATGTATATAATTGTTGATTTCTATGTGGATCTATATTTTACATAAATACATGTATAAAAGCATTTTTGTAAAAGAAGGATGGTGCTACAGTCTTTTTCACAGTTTGGCCTTGTTTTATGAATATAACACTAACTTCAAAATCATGAATTTTACTAACTTGGAAGTATCATATCCCATATATCATACTTTATAAAAGTTTTGCTATTATTTACTATGTCAAAAATAATACTCTTATAAATGTCATGACCCACAAATCTTCGTCCTGCAAAAATACCCTTCTAAATGCATCAAATCTGTAACTTTGAGGAAAACTGGGTAGAATTAGCCTCCCAGCTTCAAGTACAGATCTTTATAACAAGCACCATTGTTTTAGATCAGATAATAGATTCTGATTTCCCTACTTTTATTCTTGATAACCTCCCACCATTAGTGTCTTTATATTTGACTGATACCTAGCCAGTTAATTATCACTTTTTAAGATACCTAAGGTGTCAACCCTTCCAGAAAGGTAGATTGATTAAACTGTCTTTTCTACATATCTCTTGTTGATATCTATTTTAGAATGTTACCTCATTGTGTTAAAACAGTATGCTTATCTCTCTTCTCATTTACGATTATAGCTCCCTTGAAGACAGAAACATTTTAATCTTTCTTAGTAGCAAACATAATATACAGCACAATAGTTTCTTTAAAAGCAAAATGATCCAAAGTATTGACTGAATTAAGATAAAATGGGCATGCTGTGGAGGTATATAATTTATAAGCCATCTATTTTTTACAATGTGGATTTCCATTCTTGGTAACACTAACAAAAGCTCAAACAAAATTAAAATAAGAAAATACTTGTATAACATCAAGTTCCTTCATGTTTTGTAAAAAGGTAACTCTTAAAGAATTGAAAAAAAAACTAGCAAATTTTCAACAATTCTTGCTTTCTAAAAACAGTACCCCACTCAAGTATAAAGAAAAAATGCAAATGTTTATATAATTTAACATTTACAAATGTGTATGAGAATCATTTCCCTTCTATAGATAGAATGATCAAGATTAGTAAGTTTAAAACAGACCTAACTCAATACAGAAATATGAAGGAATAACATTTATAAAATGTGTATTAGGTAACAGAGCAAGTGCCTTAGGATAATTATGCCACTTTACAATTGCACAAGCCCCTGTGATAATTATTACATTTATTTTCTATCTGAAATCATTTGTCCAGGGTTCTACAATTAGTCAATCATAGAATCATACTTCAAACCCAGGAAGGTGCAAATTCAAAGCTATGATCATCTCATTCTCTGCCACTAGAACACCTAGTAGATAGCCCAATTTTCAATTCAGTATCAGAAATGTTCCCTGAAGTATCAGAAGGAAAGACTAGCAATGACTAACAGCAAGCTCAGGGTATTTGCATTGTGCTATGTTTTAGTTCCCTGCCAAATGCCATGCCAAAGCCATGAACACCAGAAATTTCTGCCTGGAGGCATACATTCCCTGTCTGGCAGTGTACATCAGCTGGCGTATTTTCCTTGGATATTCTAAAGATGCATCCATGTCAGAACAGAAATGAAAAGTTACTAAGAAGAAAATGACATGAAATAAAGGGTCAAGAAAAATCTACGTGTATTTCAATTCTAAAAAGTCTCAGAAAATTACCCACATATGCATTTATGAAGTACTTTTTGGTTTTATATAAGAGTGACATGGCAAAATATATACAGTATGCTTTGGGCAAACTTAAAAATATAATGATGCATACATAATTATACATCCACAAATACTAAGTTTGCATAAAGCAGAACAGGTATCAATCATTACTAATGATGGTACATAGTCATTTTTTCTCATAACCACAAACCAACATCCAACATACCTTTCTACATAAAAATTACCTTAACAAGCAAAAAAAAAAAATTGTGAACAGTGCTTTACCAACTCGTGTGCAAGCTTGGAGGGACCTTGAATAGGGTAGCTGATTCAGAGAAGCTTCATAAAAACTTAAGACAACATTGTCAATCTGCTTGGTATTTAAATACCTCAGGGAAAAATGACATTGAATCTTTACTACCTTATGCTAGAGCTCACTTAAACGTTTCTCTTATGAACTAGTTTTAAGAAATAATTCTTGTTACTTCCTCCATACAGAAGGTCTGGAAACTATAGCTCATGTACTAAAGATTTGTCAGTTTTCATCCTTCTCCAGTACTGCCTTTAAGAACTTTAGTTTCCTTGCTCTTTACTCAGAGGTTAATAGTTTACACAGTTTGTACCTCTTATTCAGCTCACAAATTTATTTTTACTCTCCAAATTCAGTTGTTATATTTCATGACCTCTTTAATGATCTTTGGTCACATTGTTTTTTCAACAGAATTCCAATTTGAAGTAACAGACATCCTATATTGACCTTGCAGTATCCCCGCTTACCTTTCACGAAGCACATTTATATACTTACTAAGCTGTTTGTGTATTTATTTTCCTGATTGCTTCCTATTTTCAGGTTGATTTGTAATTCTAAGCTAATTTCTCTATTTGTTTCCCCCTGAACGGAGACACTTTAGGTAGCTCTTGCCTGATAATTAAACTCATGTACTCATATATCATATTTCAATAGTTTCATCAACATATATTAAATACCTTCCATCAGCCTCTGATAGCTACATTGTTTCCAGATATAGATTATGTGGATTAAGTTTTCTGTACCCAGGCAATGATATGTATTTGAGAAACAGATTTCCAATTTTGATATTTTCTTGCTAACATTATACCTGAAGAAAAAGTGTCTATCATAAAATGTATTTGAAAATGAACATGGAACATAATACCATATTTTTAGCGTGCAACAGTAATGTTATTAATATAATACTTTACACTTCATTCAAACAGAACATTTGAAATATGATTTAAATATACACACCTTTGTCCAAGGCACATCCTGCTGTGGTCTCAGGACAGGAACCTAATATAAAAAAAATTAATATATTTAGTGTAACAAGCAGATCAAGATATAGTAATACATAATATTAAAGAAAAAGCATAGTTTAAACTTCAACCATTTTTCATAATCAGTCCTTAACTTTAAGAAGATTTCCTGTTTTCACTAGAACTAATGTTTATTTATACCCAAAGCAAAGGCTGTGATATTCTATAACACTTCTTATCTTTAGGTCTTAAACATTCCTAGAAATATAGAAGCAGATTCAGTTCTTGATACAAAAATGTCAATTTCATGCAAAAGCTCACTTATTTTTCAGAAATGCTACATGAATTATTAGCTTCAAGACAGAAGATGAAGAAACAGGTTTAATGAATTTTATGATAGCAAATGCCTTAATATTTATTCATCAAAAAGTGGTAGTGGAGCATCAATTAAAGTTAATAGAGAGTCATTTTCAGAGTAATTATGCTTCACTTTCAGGCCATGCATCTAGAATGAATGTACAGATAATACATTTAAAATTGTTCAAATTGAGTTTTTTAAAAAAAGATTTATTTGAAAGTCAGAGTTACACACATAGAGAAGGAGAGACAGAGAGAGAGAGAGATAGAGAGAGAGAGAGAGAGAGATCTTTTATCCACTGGTTCACTCCCCAAATGGCTGAAACAGTCGCAGCTGAGCTGATCCAAGCCAGGAGTTTCTTCCAGGTCTCCCACATGGGTGCAGGGGCCCAACGACTTGGGCCATCTTCTACTGTTTTCCCAGGCCATAGCAGAGAGCTAGACCAAAAGTGGAGCAGCCCTGACTCGAACAGGAACCCATAGGGGACGCCGACACTGCAGGCGGTGGCTTTACCCACTATGCCACAGCACCGGCCTTCGAATTGAGAATTTTAACTATCAAAAGGTGAAACAGAATCACATATTGCTGAACTTAAACCCAATATTTCCACTATTTTTCCTATGATTTTATTAGATGCAATGCCACTTTTCCAAATATATTCAGAGACCCACGGGCAGGGAAGTGCAGCTCTATACCTGAGGATCACACTGCCAATGTGATAATACTAACTTTAAGAACTTCAATTAAATGTAAAATAAAAGACCCACTCACTTTGTATCTTTTCCACATCTATGTATCTGAAATTTCCAGATTTGAGAAAGTAATCAGCAAAAGGACAACTTCCCTTGCCATCTCTGCCAGTATTCGAGTACAGGTTTTTACCATGGATGATAAATAACCCATGAAGTGAAGTAAAAACACTTTTTCCTCCATATTCAATATTCACAAACTCAAACAATTTTGTTGTAGAAGCACCTGGAAACTAATTTGGATTCAAACGATGATGAGAGGGTTTTCTTTTTCATTTTATTTTATTGCTACTTGGGAAGTCTCTGGAGCTCCTGAGACCACTGGGCTCCCTCAGCCATTGCTGAAGTTGGACAAACACATGAGCCTCAATTGTACGTGTACATGCAGACACAAAACTGCTCCGGGCCAACTGTTTCATTTTATGGCCCAAAGTAGAACCTGGTGTCTCTTGGACTCATATCTTGGCTTTTTGAGTTACCAGGCAGCCCATCTTTCAGGCAATTTACATAACCCTCTCAAAGACTTAGCCTGTCACTTTGAAGTAGTGGTGAAGACAAAGAAAGTTAATTCAAAGAAACTGTTTACAATAGTTCCTGGGAGACAGGAAGTGACTAACACATCATAACTATTGAGAACTATGAAACATTTGAAAAGCAAAAACAGCTATTCAAACACATTTTTCATTTGGGTATATATTTTAGTATTTTCAAAGAAAGCACTAATTTACAATTATACATATCTACAGGGTACAGTGTGACTTTCTTCTTTGTGATGCTAAATGTACTTTTTTAAACTTATGATTTAACAATTTTTAATATTTTTCCAGATTATCATGTGTAGATTTTATATACATAATTTTTTTTTGACAGGCAGAGTGGACAGAGAGAGAGAGAGAGACAGAGAGAAAGGTCTTCCTTTTTGCCGTTGGTTCACCCTCCAATGGCCACCGCAGCCAGCGTGCTGCAGCCGGTGCACCGTGCTGATCTGAAGCCAGGAGCCAGGTGCTTCTCCTGGTCTCCCATGCGGGTGCAGGGCCCAAGCACTTGGGCCATCCTCCACTGCACTCCCAGGCCACAGCAGAGAGCTGGCCTGGAAGAGGGGCAACCAGGACAGAATCCAGCGTCCTGACCGGGACTAGAACCCAGTGTGCCAGTGCTGCAGGCGGAGGATTAGCCTATTGAGCCATGGCGCTGACCGACATACACTATTTCTTAAAAAAGGGATATTAATACCACATAATGTGGGATTCATAACAATGATCATAAAGTAAGGAAAAAGGAGTATTTTGTCATGAATGTGGTATAATTCAATGAAGACAGTATAACTATGACGACTACTTCTTAACTACTACTTTTTTTTTTTTTTTTTTGACAGGCAGAGTGGACAGTGAGAGAGAGAGAGAGAGACAGAGAGAAAGGTCTTCCTTTTGCCACTGGTTCACCCTCCAATGGCCGCTGTGGCTGGCGCGCTGCGGCCGGTGCACCACACTGATCCGAAGGCAGGAGCCAGGTGCTTCTCCTGGTCTCCCATGGGGTGCAGGGCCCAAGCACTTGGGCCATCCTCCACTGCACTCCCTGGCCACAGCAGAGAGCTGGCCTGGAAGAGGGGCAACCAGGACAGAATCTGGCGCCCTGACCGGGACTAGAACCCGGTATGCCGGCACCGCAAGGCGGAGGATTAGCCTAGTGAGCTGCGGCGCCGGCACTGCTACTTCTACATTAGAGATCATTTGTTAGTGTAAAAAACCTTCATTTGTGTTTCTTCTCTCATCAGTTATAATTATATGCAAAAGAACCGAGAAACACTAGTAAGCAATGATAATTTTACATCACAGAAATCTAAGTAAAAAAGAGGATCTTTTAGATGTATACATTCCATTCAAAAGGCAGAGTTACTCAAAGAAAAGGAGAGACAGAGACTTAGAAAAAAATCTTCCACCCACTGGTTCACTCCCCAAATGGCTGCATCAGCCAAGGCTGGACCTGGCAAAAGCCAGGAGCCAGGGGCCTCATCTAAGTCTCCCACGTGGAAGGCAGGGGCCCAAGGAATTGGGCCATCCTCTGTTGCTTTACCAGACATATCAGCAGGGAGCTGGATCCAAAGTGGAGCAGCTAGAACTCGAACCAGCAATCATATGGGATGCTGGTACTGTAGGCACTGGTCTAACCTGCTGCCCCACAGCACCAGCCCCAATATAGGTATTTTTAAAATGGTATTTAATAGCTGTAATTCCATGACCTCAGTTTACTTTCAGTCTGGCATGACAAAAAGAACAGAAACTCTCCTTACTAACAAGGAAGCATTTAATGTCTTCTACAAGCTGAGTAAGAATCCAACTGTTGAATAACCATGGGAGAAATATAGAATGAAAAGGTTATATCAAACTCGGGACAATTAGCAGGCTAGAATGAATTTATCAAAGAAACACATGACACCCACAAAGTTAGAGTTGCAGTGGGGGTTACAAGAGCAAACACACATTTCAGCTTTTAAAATTTAGAACCCAGAATTGTAAATTGGATTAGGGTTGCTGGATCTGATTTTTATAGTGGGTGTATACATATTACAACAGGAATACATTACACTGAGAAAGTTAAGAAGTATCTTTTTCTGGAAGATTTATTTGTTTGAAAGAATTGGAAAGAGAAATCTTTCATCTGCTGGTTTACTCCCTAGATGGCCTCAGTGGCCAGGGCTGGACCAGGCTGAAGTCATGAACTTTATTCAGGTCTCCTATATGAGTGGCAGGGACCCAGGCATTTGAGCCATCTTCCCCTCTTTTCCCAGGACATTAACAGGAAGTTGAATGAGAACTAGAGTAGCTGGTACATGAACTGGTGCCCATAAGGGATACAGGATACAGAGGGTAGCTTTACCTGCTATGCCACAACACTGGCCCTGACATTTTTTAAGGTTATTAAACCAATTAAGAGGGGAAAAAAAGAGGTGAGAATATAAAGAGAGACAAAAGAATGATTTAAAATACTGCAAAGAAGGAAAGGAAAAAGGGGGCTGGTGCTATGTCACAAGTGTTTAAGCTACTGCTCAGGATGCCGTCATCCCATATGAACATCAGTTTGAGGCCAAGTTGCTTTGCTTCTGATTCAGCTCCCTGATACTATTTGTTGGAAAGCAGAAGATGGCCTAAGTGCCTGGGCTCCTGTAACCCACATGGGAAACCTGTAAGGAGTTCTGGCTGCTAGCTTCAGCCTGGCCCAGCACTGGCTGGTGGGGCCACTTGGCAAGTGAACTAGCAGATCAAAGATCTGTGTGTCTCTCCCTATTGATTTGCCTTTCAAGTATATCAATCTTCAAAAAAGAAATAGTAAAACATTAATAACCCCATTAGGAAAAGCTCTAATATCAAATCTGAAGGTAGACAATATATTTGGTAGACTATGTTTTGACCAGAGCTATTTGATACATCTGGTGATAGCAGTGGAAGGGTGGGGAACTAACTACATTACGTCATTGCTTACCATGTAATTCTATACAGGCGTGATTTCTTCCCTTTGCCTTTCTCTCTCCTCTCCAGAATACTTTCAGCAATTTCTGGAGATATTTTTATTGTCACAAGTAGGGTTAAGATGCTACTAGCATTTACAGGGTTGACACTAGGACGTGGTTAAATACCTTAAAATGTACAACACATCCCCCACCCAAGTCAGAATTATCAAATCCAAGATATCATCTGTGTGCTGAAGTTGAAAAAGCTTGCATGATTTAGCAGGAGAGATTATGACCCCTTTCCTCTGCATTTCTTCACAAACTCCCAAATTATAAAATCACACCATTTGCATTGGAAAAAAAAAGAGGAATAACATTGGTCAAAGGTCCTGAAATGGATATTTCACTTGCTAGTAAGTAACCTACTTAAACAGTGACCATCAAGTACTTAAAACAACCAGCTGGGGCCACCACTGTAGCAT